AAGTTTTTTTTTTTATTGATTTTAAATATGAACTCCAGATGAGACGTTTTTAGTCTAAGATCAGGCTAAATATTTAATTTCAGTCTAAATTGGAATTTCTATTACCCCGAGGCCCAAAGTGAAGGTCATGAAAAAAAAACTGTTATTTTTTAACAATAAATAACTACCAAAATCAGTCCCAGGCGAGCTGTCGCGATAATCGCCGTTAAGTATAACACACAATTGGGCATCCATATTCCAACCCGGTCCCCGTGATTGAGTCCAATGGCATTAAAGCTCCTGCACAGCTTGTCCACCTGTGAAAAAAAAATATGAATCAATTAACATGCACGCTTACAGTATTATGCGAGTACACATTTTTCTGCGTGTTGAGTGTCGTGCCCAGCTGTATTTAATATAATGGGTGTAAATTGTAAATATATGTARGTAGGTAACGATAATAATATAATCTAGGACAAATCAAAACTGTCGCTTTCAATGAAACCGATAGTAATATTGTGTTATTTAGTTTACGCTAACCTCGGAAGCCATTGCGGCGAACGTGTATCGTTTGTTCTCATGTCGACTAACTAAGAACTCTCGGTCAGGATTCTGTTGCACGACGTCATTGAAAACTCCTCCAATCGTATAAGCTTTGAGTGGGTCACTGGAGGCCCCGCACACGTAGCTGTACTTCGACCAATGATTATTTCTYGTAAATCTATGATAATTGAAGAAAAACGCAAACGATGAATTAGGAAAAATTATATTGTACAAGATTATTACWGGATTATAATAATTTAATATTATTTTTGTTTAATACACTAAAAATTCCAGATTGCACGAAARATCAATAAATATTTAACTGAACCAWTAGGGARGTGAAGATGTCTTACATATGAGTTAGTGGTCCATTAAGTTAATTAATTTTCTTATGCAACTCGACATAAGCGGCCGTGTTTATACAACTTGTGTCTACTGCAGTGGCGTAATTAGGAATTTGTCTTAGAGGGGGATAAACATTTTTTTCCACACAAAATATTTGGATTTTCATGTACAATATCTAGGAAAACTATTTCATCAAAAATTCTTAAACTAATATATATGTACACAAAATGTATTAATAAATGTGCTTTAAAATTCTACACAATTTAGTACCTATACAATATTATAATAATTTCTTCAAAATGT